AGCTAGTCTGGCTTTCATAGTTTTGAAGTAGAATTAGTAGTTTCAAAGTAAAAATTGTGTTCTTGGAACTGATCTGAAATTACTTGCTGTGTTTTCTTGTTCTTTCTCTCTCATTCTGTCTTTCCCCCCCCTCACCTCCCAGTCCTCTAGTACTTTTGTAAAAAGTGTGTTTAGAAATACTTGTTGAAGAATTCTAGGGTAAAGGTTTTGAGTTAAAACTTCCTTTGTGTGATCCTGTTATGAAGTATGTACATGAAGAAACAAGCTAGAATCACACACAGGAATAGCTTTCCAGTTCATGGGAAACTAATGTGGACTTCTCTAAAACTAGAGCACAATTCTTCTGTTAAGTGGAAACTGTTCTTCGTTGTGTTGCTAGATCATCTTTTTCTGCAAGAGTTCAGTGAAGCTTCTAAGTGATATCAGTTCCTCTGTCAATTTTTATTGCTTAATAGTTATTTTCATTCTCTTTCATTGTGTTGGAAGATTTATCCAAGTTCAGGGAAAAACATTGCAATACAGAAGAAACTGATGTGACACACAGTACTGCCAAGTACCTAAAAGTAGCGATCATATTTTCTGGTAACTTGCTGGTATTTGTCATAGTAGTAAACTGAAATGCAGGTGGTACAAATCTGGCTCTGAAAATTTTCTTGAACTTCTTAGCAGCTGATCAGAGTATGACGTTAGAGTAGATTGCCTGCACCAAAAGCAATCATGCCTTTGAATTTTTGTCCTTGTAGCCAACTTCAGAGAAATTCCACGTGGCTGCCTACAGCTTATACTTACCTGTTCCTTGTTTATGGCTGTAGAGAGCTATAAATGGGACAGACACTGGTATGGGCAGCAGTTTCAGCTGACCACTTAACCAACACGGATGGCATTTTTTCAATGTGTGACCAACTGTGTTTGCCCGAAGTGGCACCTTGCTGGGATGGGGTTTCTCAGCTTGTTTCCCTGTTATTCTGTGTAGGTAAACAGTAGCTAGGGCATAAGCGCAGCACAGTGCTGTCCTGCCAGGATCAGTCTTCAAAGTCATTAGTTCAGGTCAGGCCACATGTGTTCAGGAAAGGGATGCCTCCTAAAGGGGATGTCACTGGTCCTGCTGCTTTTTTTTACATCAACAGGCAAGTTGCTTTTTTTTACAGCAACAGGCAAGATCACATAAGTGATCTTATACTAATTATCCTATAATGCTTATGATCCTAATAACAGCTATAACGTTAATCACCTTTTGTCACATTTCGGTCATTCTTTGTAAATGGTTACTTAATTTTATCCTCTTTGGTAGTCATGAAGAACAAGGAACTAATGCAGCATTCATGATGTGATGGAATCAGAATGCAGCATCCTTGAGGAGTTAACTCACTGTCTCTTCTGGGTTTTTCAGCTAGGCTAAACATAAACTAATCTTTTTTGCAGTCTCTTACCAGTTTTTACTCTGCAAAAGAGATACCTGAGAATTATAAGGTGTTTCTTCCTCTTCTTCTCTTGCTCACATGTATGAGCTAAAGGTACGGTAACATAAATTAATTTCCCACTCTTTCTCACTACTTAGTACAAATATAACTACAGGTTCCTTCTAAAAATTCCTAGATTAACAGCGTTTATCACTACCTTTGTTCAAAGTCTTGCCATCTTTCCATTCATTTTGCTATTGATAACCAGCTTAAGCATTTTGAGTAAAAATCTATCAGTATTATCAAGTAATTTACTGAAATGTTAATTGCTTACTGTTCAGGAGTTGAAGTGTCTCTCTGAAACTTTATTTTTCATTTAACATACTGATTTATGTTAGATATATGTGCTAGAACTTCTGCATGAGGTAGCTGAAAATTAAGACATTATGTATTTAAAAGACAGATTAATTTAAATGCAAAACAGGTTTTTGGAGGGGTGGGGGACAAGAATTGGTGAGAAATAAAGTAGAGCAGAGGAGGATAAAGTATCTAACAAACTTCTTATCTTCAAATATAATAAAATCTGACCTCAGTTGAAGAATAAAGGTGTTTATATATTCACAGTCTTAACATTTCTACAAGAAAGTTGGAAAATATATTGTAATACTTCATGGTATGGTCTGAAGTAGGTACACCTAAAATTATACTTGTTAAAACAAATTGTTAAAGGCACGTTTGAACTTGTGAAGAAGTTTGTGCAATAAACAAAATGGGCAGTTATTCAAATGGCAGTCTTCTAATTGACTCTAGGGCCAGCTAACTCGTTGAGGTGCTTGAGGTGTGGTCCTTCCCACACCTCTAGGAGAACCACAGGAAAGGAGATCTCCCCTGTTCTGTGGACAAACAGAAGTGGTGTACAATTCTAATTTGTGAGCAGAAATGACATGTAACACCCAGCTGGCTTCAGAGCTGGAGCAAATACGTTGATTCCTCCTGATAAATCTCTGTGGGCTGTGTAGGTGTTCTTTAAATCCACATCTGAAAACATACTTTTACTCCTCTTCCTGCCATTACTGCACCATAGTAGTCTAGTCTAGTAAACTTACTTCTTTCTCCTTAAAGCCCTATAATAAAGCCTTGTTGCTTCAGCTGTCCTTTGGAGGGGCCTCTGTTCTCCCTAAAATTAATGTTGGTGTGTGTTTATAATACATTTCATGCACTCTTTTTATGCATTGCAGTTAACTTCCTGTAAGCCATTCCTTCCCTTTACTGTATTTTGGGGAGAGATGGGGAGGAACAGAGAGTGAATCTACTGGTCTGGAACAAGATTTGAGAAACAAGCATCTATAATTAAGCTCCTACTGGGTTTTTTTGGGTACCTCAGAAGAATCCTAAACTTCAGTAGAGGTAGATGCTTTACTACTGCCATTCATTCTCATCTTTCTGAGTATCTTCTTAGATGCCTTTTTCTTGCATGATAGTTCTAGTGACTTTCACTGGAAGGAAGGAAAACAAGTTTCTTACCGTTTTCTAAATATTTTAAGAGTATCAGAACCTGATTAACAGCTAGCAAATGTAAAGGCTTTTAAAGGAACTTCTGGATTAGCATGGTATTTACATTTACATATGTAATTCTCTAACTGCAAGTTTCAAAACAGATAAGTACACTGTGCTGATGGCAGCATGTACAGCGCATGCTTCGGAGGAAAACATCTTGAAGACTGTAGAACTGCTTCTGTCAAGGAATGCTGACCCTAACCTTACTTGCAGGTAACAAAAAACCTTGTGTCTGTGAATACAGCATAAAATTTAGTATTAATGTACAGAGGCATCTTTATAGACATAGCTGTTGGTGGTTAAGATGATGTGTATTTCATTAGCTTTTAGTAACTTCGCTGCTGTCTGTGTAAGGAAGGGTTAGTGTCCAGATACTTATTTCTCCCTAGTACAGTCATTCATCTGAGTAAATAAGACTACGATGAGTTTTATCAAATATAAGTATGTTTGTCAGCTGAACAAGATACAAGTTTAAGATAAAAACTCATCTAAGTACTTCAGTTGACTGCAGTATAAGGGCAAGAAATATGTTCTCTGCGTTTCCCAAATCATTACCTTTTCTGTATAAGCAAGCATGTAAGTGAAATCAGTTCTTTATTTAAATTCATGTCCTCCTTTTGAGCTTTTTTTTTTGTATCTAGCTATATTCCTTTCACAGACGGCCTCCTATGGAAAAAGAAAACTTCCCTGTAAATAAAATACATTTACTCCAGTGCAATCTGGAATAATCCAGATTAAAAGGACACTAAACCTCCTTTTAGAAGCAAGTAACAGCTTGTTTCTTGAGTTACGATTTTGTGTCGAAGCAGTGCATTGTGAGATGTCTGTAGTCGTATAGTCTGACACAATGTTTCATTTTGCATCAAAAATAAATAAATTCTGGGCTGACCCAGGATAAAATGTCCTCCCTCTGCTGGGGAAAAAAAAAAAAAAAGATATTGTTTGGGTCAAATTGAAACTGCTTGGTTTTCAACTAACTGAAATGAATTTTTTTTTATACCACAGCTCTTTCACCACATTACCCGAGATACGTGGATTGAACAGAATTGGAGGCCTGTTGGTTCTCATTAGTAGAATTCAATTACTCTGGGCCCTGAATCTCACTGTGAGCATAGTACTGAAGATAAGGAGGAGACATAGTTGTGGTGAAGTGCCACTGATAGCTGGTACTAAATTTAAATGCCATTCATTTATTCTTAACAGAGAGGCTAAAAATTGTTCATGAAAGAAGAGAAAGCTACAGACTTGGAATTAGTTACATGTTATTGCTGTCAGATAGCTGCTTGTTAGGATAAACATCCTGCTTTAAAAAATGAGAGAGGTCTTTGCATTATAGAATCATAGAATCATTTTGGTTGGAAAAGATATTTAACATCATAAAGTCAACTGAAAACATAACACGGCAAAGTCCACCGCTAAGCCATGTCGCTAAGCACATCTACCACATCTTTTAACTGCCTCCAGGGATGGTGACTCTACCACTTCCCTGGGCAGCCTGTTCCAATGCTTGACAACTCTTGGTGAAGAAGTTTTTCCTAATATCCAATCTAAACCTCCCCTGGCACAACTTAAGGCCATTTCCTCTTGTCCTATTGCTTGTTACTTGGGAGATGAGACCAACCGCATCTCACTTAGACCCTCCTTTTCAGTTGCAGAGAGCAATAAGGTCTCCCCTCAACCTCCTTTTCTCCAGGCTAAATAACCCCAGTTCCTTCAGCCGCTCCTTGTAAGATTTGTTCTACAGGCCCTTCACCAGCTTCATTGCCCTTCTCTGGACACGCTCCAGCACCTCCATGTCTTTCCTGTAGTGAGGGGCCCAAAACTGAACACAGTTCTCAAGGTGCAGCTTCACCAGTGCCAGGTACAGGGCGGGGATCACTTCCCTACTGCTGGCCACACTGTTTCTGATACAGGCCAGATGCTGTTGGCTTTCTTGGCCACCTGAGTACACTGCTGGCTCATGTTCAGCTGGCTCTCAACCAACACCCCCAGGTCCTTTTCTGTTGGGCAGCTTTCCAGTGTGTGTGGAGCAGGGAAGGACTAGTGAGAAATAAACTGATTTTTGAAATGCAGTTGAAGAAAGAAGATGAGTTTAGGAGTGGGTAGGTAGATGATTTCTTTGCAATAGGATAGAATGCTGAGGAGAAAGTGTTCGGTAGAGTAACTTCCAGTATTTTTGCTAAATCAAAATTGGGAACTGAATACTGATGGCTGTAAAAAACAGTTTTGTTGATGAGAATGTAGTGTAGCAAAGCATAAGTGCTAACTGAAGAGTTTTGAAAGATGAACAAGAAGTAAGGTAATGGCTAGGTGAAACCAGAAGGCATTGTAAGACCTGGTCTCTATGGTCTTTGTAGAGCTATTATAGCCTGACTGCTTTGTTTAAGTGAATGCTACCTTGAGAAAGTTGTTCTGTTTATCTTGTATCACTCACTTCCCTCTCACTCCACAATGTAAATTATATACTTAATCCTTTTTTAAGGCCTGTAAATACTTAAGCAGTCTTTTTTTTCAAACCTCTCTTAACCTGCAGTGCTTTCTTAAAGGTACACTGATTTTATTAATGTTAAGCTGTGATTTTGTTTTAGGCAGAAGGAAAAGGCATGACCAGCTGATAACTTAATTACTGCTGCTAGGATTGCATGTCATAGGTTGTTTAATAAATACGGATTTTAGTGATGACATCCTCAGAGTTCTTGTTTACATAGAATAGAGTTAAAGAAACCTAATGGCTTTGCTGGTAAGGAGATTATTTTGAGTTGAATTTTCATGCTAATAGCTCTTTGTTAGAAGAAGGTACAAATAGGTGAATGACTGCAGCCTTCTTTATTTTGACAAAAGCTCTTTGTCTCTTGTTCTGTATGGGATATGTGGAGGTTTGATTTTATTTGTGTGAGGTTTTTTTTTCCCCCCTCACTCTTAAAATTTCTGGCACAATTGAGTCCTGGTCAATGATCAAACCTGTCTTCAGTGTTTCTGCTCTACAGTGGTTATGAATTTTTTGTATATTTTAAAACAAAGTTTTCAGAAAATCTTTGATTTTTAATTTTTTTTTTAGGGTGAGTTTTATGAGAACTAGACCTTTGTCTGTCTTTTGTTGTTATACAGATTAAAAGTTGAGCTTGAAGCATACTGTCATGTACGTGAAAATGTAATCACTGCTCAAGTGTGGTATTAAGTTGCCTGCATATGTTCGCTTATGTTTACATTCAGAGCAGAAAATAGTTTCATGGTGAAAGTTTTGGTCTATTTTGCCTTCTTGAAAAGATGATAATAGAAGGGGGAAATTTTCATTGCATTATTCCTGAGTTCACAAGGTAGGTCTGTCTTCAGGTTGCATAGTCAGAATAAAGCAATTGTGTAACACATCAATTTTAGCAAGATATTTATTGCTACTGATAAGATAGTAAGTCTGCACTGCCACATAATAATTTAAAAGACCTTGACATTCTCATTGTGTCATAGTTAACCATGCCAAATGACAAACAGTACATTTCAGTAAAGGTAAATAGCCTGGGAAATGTTAATGCACTACAGTGCATTTTATGGCTGGAGTGAGAAAATCAGGAAATTTAATACTGATTGAGTCAAGATCTTCAATCCACTTCAGAGAAAAAAATATCTTGTGATGTTACGCTCTTTTATACTTCATGCCTTTCAGAGAGTTTTTTATTCTAGCACTATGAGCTTGGGACAGAAAGACTTATTTTATTCTGTTGGTCAAACATCAGGACAGAAGAAATCAGATGCAAAATTACATTTACCACAGTACTGGGCTATGTCCCTACATCTCTTCCCTGTTCTTACCCAAGTTAGGGAGAAGTCAGAAGCCTGGTAAGTGTGCCAGTTCTGTGAGTTTGGAAGAGTGGCTTTTGAATGTAAGTGTTGAGTCAGGTTCATCAGATCTTTTGGTAGAGGGGAGGAGTCTAAACACTGAAATAGATGATTGTACTTTCCCTGGCTAGTATTGACTAGATGGTGGTACCAACAGGTGTACAAGTGTTGGTCAGTTTCTGGGCAGAGGTATAAAATGCTTGAGGACAGCAGCAACATTAGATGCTATTTTTAACAGGGGCATTCTGACAGTGTACTGTAGTGTCTTGGAATGTCACCTGAGCAGCCTTTGTGTAAAACAGAAACAAAACCTCCACTGAAGTCCCTTAGCATTGTATCAGCAACATTGTCTCACAAGTATATTGAACTTCTTAGCATTGGGACTAGCTTACCCTGATTGTGAATTATTTGCATAGAATTGGGAATTGCCCTTTCATTAGAAAGGTGGAGTAGATTTCACGTGTGTGTACTGAAGTTCTTGACTGGAGACTTCACCCCTTTGAAAGTAAAATTGAAAATGGTCTGAGAAGTTTCTGGTTGTGTGGATAACAGTTTTTTTTTTTTCCTACTTTACATCAGTGTGTGTCTTCAGCTAAACCAGCTTGCTTATAAAAGTGTGGTAGAGTAAGAATGTAGGAGAACAGGGCAGGATAGTTGGGAATGTTGTAGCATAGAGTTCTGCCATCCCTATTGTTAATTTTTATGCTAATTTTATAATCATATCTTTTGTATTTTTCTATTCATATGATGATAACTTTGTAGCTGTTTACCGTTCCACCTCTGTGTTCTCGTATATCTTAAACAGATGCATTTTTTAAATTTTAAGACAGTTGTGTAAACAGAGTTTAGAACCAGAAAAGTATGAGACTGGAAATCTGAAAGGAAGCCTAAAACTAGGGAACCTGAAACTAAGCTGTCACCTTTTCCACCCCAACCTTCTTATTCGAGCTGTATGTTCCTGTGGTGGTTTCAGTTGGCTAGTAGCCAAACACAGCCATTTGCTCACTCCCACCCCCAGGGGATAGGAGAGAGAATTGAGGGCAAGGGTAAGGAGACTTGTAGATTGAGATAAGAACAATTTAATAACTGAAATAAAATAAAATAAAAATTATATTAAAATAATAATTATAATAATAACAGTAATAAAATATACAAATGAGCGATACACAGTGGAATTGCTCACCACCTGCCGACCAAACC